TTACATTTTAATCTGAATTATGTATCTCGCAAACCATAAACTCCATCAATTGTGGATTACCATGCTTGTCCACACGTTCCTCATCTACCTTTAAGCCTACCTTTGTGATTGTAAAATGTTGTTCCCCCTTCCTTCCTTCCTTGTCACACAAAACACAGCTCTCCCGCCAAATCGCTTACACCTCTAGGGATGGCATATCGCACAATTGTGTCTATCTCTTGACACTTATATATATATATATATGGGTGATTTCATCTCCAATCGGGCAGGCTAAAAGTGTCTAATTTTTAATTTTCACGAAAAAAACATATGTTTTGGGGGTATTTCTCAAATGAAGGAGGGCGCAAACCGCATGTTCTCCCGATTTTTTGTTCTCGAGTTACGAGCCGTAGAAGCCGCAGTGGCAGAAACTAGTGTATTTGACTGCCGTCGTAGGTCGCGTGTTTGACACCCTCTGCTGACGCTATTATTTTCTCTACACCCTTTTAAATATTCCTCCTCATTTAATAGGTACTATAAAGATACCTTGACGTATTCAAATATTTTTAGAAATTTGATTGTTTTCTAAAACACATGTCAAACTCGTCACTCCGGTCGCTTTTTGGTCAAATTTGACAGGTCATTACTTTGTCTGTACTTAAGGTAAATTTTCTTTCTTTGGCTCTACAGAAAGCCCAAAGCAAGCCCATTATAGATATAATAATATCATTATGATCTGTCGACTAACCGCTCCGCTACCTTCACGTAAACGTTGTGAAAAATAACAAATGTTCACACATTTCACGCGATTGCGGCTCAAACAGAGGACATACAACCGAAATATTACATTTCTACACTGTTTTTTCTTGTAGTCGACTAATATGTCTAAAATAATTTAAAAAATAAAAATTTACAAAAATGGGGTTTTTGAGAAAATCGACCTCAAACTTTCAACATTTGTTATTTCTTGCAACGTTTACGTGAGGGTAGCGGAGCGGCTAGTCGAGAGATCATAATGATATCATTATATCTATAATGGGCATGCTTGGGGCTTTCTGTAGAGTCAAAGAAAGAAAATTTACCTTAAGTACAGACAAAGTAATGACCTGTCAAATTTGACCGAAAAGCCACCGGAGTGGCGAGTTTGACATGTGTTTCAGAAAACAATCAAATTTCTAAAAATATTTGAATATATCAAGGTATCTTTATAGTACCTATTAAATAAGGGGGAAATTTTAAAATGGTGTAGAGAAAACAATAGCGTCAGCAGAGGGTGTCAAACACGCGACCTGCGACGGCAGGCAAAAACACTAGTTTCTGCCACTGCGGCTTCTACGGCTCGTAACTCGAGAACGAAAAATCGGGAGAACATGCGGTTTGCGCCCTCCTTCATTTGAGAAATACCCCCAAGACATATATTTTTTTCGTGAAAATTAAAAATTAGACGCTTTTAGCCTGCCCGATTTGAGATGAAAACACTCATATGAGTGTTTCAACTCAAATTGGGCAGGCTAAAAGGGTGTAATTTTAATTTTCACGAAAAAAATATATGTTTTGGCGGCATTTCTCAAATGAAGGAGGGCGCAAACCGCATGTTCCCCAGATTTTTTGTTCTCGAGTTACGAGCCGTAGAAGCCGCAGTGGCAGAAACTAGTGTTTTTGCCTGCCGTCGCAGGTCGCGTGTTTGACACTCTCTGCTGGCGCTAGTGTTTTTTCTACACCCTTTCAACTTTTTCCCCTCATTTAATAGGTATTATAGAGATACTTTGACGCATTCAAATATTTTTTGGAATTTGATTGTTTTCTAAAAAGCATGTCAAACTCGTCACTCCGGTCGCTTTTTGGTCAAGTTTGACAGGTCATTACTTTGTCTGTACGTAAGGTAAATGTTCTTTCTTTGGCTCTACAGAAAGCCCAAAGCAAGCCCATTATAGATATAATAATATCATTATGATCTGTAGACTAGCCGCTCCGCTACCTTCAGGTAAATGTTGTAAGAAATAACAAATATTGGAAGTTTGAGGTCGATTTTCTCAAAAACCCCATTTTTGTAAATTTTTATTTTTTAAAAATCTTTTAGACATGTTAGTCGACTACAAGAAAAAACAGTCTAGAAATAAAATATTTTGGTTGTATGTCCTCTGTTTGAGCCGCAATCGCGTGAAATGTGTAAACATTTGTTATTTTTCACAACGTTTACGTGAAGTTAGCGGAGCGGCTACTGAGCAGATCATGATGATATTACAATATCTATACTAGGCATGCTTAGGGATTTCTATAGAGCTAAAGAAATAAAATATACCTTAAGTACAGACAAAGTAAAGGTGTGTCAAAGTTGACCAAAAATCGACCTGAGTGACGAGTTTGACATTTTTTTTACAAAATAGTCAAATCATTAGAAATATTTGAATACCTCAAGGTATCTTTATAGTATTTATTAAATGAGGGGGAAAAGTTAAAAAGGTGTAGAAAAGACACTAGCGCCAGAAGAGGGTGTCAAACACGCGACCTGCGACGGCAGGCAAAAAACTAGTTTTTGCCACTGTGGCTTCTACGCTTTGTAACTCGAGAACAAAAAATCTGGGGAACATGCGGTTTGCACCCTCCTTCATTTGAAAGATGCCCCCAAAACACATATTTTCTTCGTGAAAATTAAAAATTAGATTATTTTAGTCTGCCCGATTTGAGATGAAACCTCCCAATCGGGCAGGCTGGAAGGGTCCAGTTTTTAATTTTCACGAAAAAAATAATGTTTTGGGGGTATTTCTCAAATGAAGGATGGCGCAAACCGCATGTTCCCCAGATTTATTTTTCTCGAGTTACGAGCCGTAGAAGCCGCAGTGGCAGAAACTAGTGTTTTTGCCTGTCGTCGCAGGTTGAGTGTTTGACACCCTCTGGTGGCGCTAGTGTTTTTTCTACACCCTTTTAACTTTTCCCCCTCCTTTAATAGGTACCATGAAAATACCTTCACGTATTCAAATATCTCTAGTAGGTTGATTGCTTTCTAAAAAACATGTCAAACTCGTTACTCAGGTCGATTTCTTGTAAATTTTGACAGGTCATTACTTTATCTGTACTTAAGGTACAATTTATTTCTTTGGCTCTATAGAAAGCCCTAAGCGTGCCTAGTATAGATATAATAATATCATTATGATCTGCCGAGTAGCCGCTCTGCTACCTTCACGTAAGCGTTGTGAAAAATAACAAATGTTCACACATTTCACGTGATTGCGGCTCAAATAGAGGACATAAAACCAAAATTTACATTTCTAGACAGTTTTTTCTTGTAGTCGACTAATATGTCTAAAAGAATTTAAAAAATAAAAATTTACAAAAATGGGGTTTTTGAGGAAATCGACCTCAAACTTTCAACATTTCACGAAGGTAATCCCTGGAGAAGGGGAACAAGAGGGACAAAGGACAAACATAAATCTCCAAACACAGCTAGGTGACCGGTGAGCGACCGAAAAAATCCGCCTGGTCCGGGTATCGAACCCGGGACCTCTCCATGTCCCTCTTGTTCCCCTTCTCCAGGGATTACCTTCGTCATTCTTGTCCAGCTCGCTTGCACCTTTGCAATTAATTGCATTATAATTTCAACATTTGTTATTTCTTACAACGTTTACGTGAAGGTAGCTGAGCGGCTACCCTTAGCGAAAAACCGGGGCTCTTAAAGTATACTTTATTTGTACTTCCAAAAGTATGCTTGTTGCTCTAAATTGGCCGGTTTTTAGTAAGCTTTTAACATACTTTCAAGTAACATTTACCCATACTATTAAGACACTTGAAGTCTGCTTCAAGATTCGGTTGGCTTCTACTTTAATGGCACTTTTAGGATACTTCTAGCCATCATTTTAGTATGCTTTCAAGCGGACTATTAGTATACTTTCAAGCGGGTTAATAGTAAACTTTCAAGCGGCCTTTAGGATGCTTTAATGCAGCCTATTAGTATGCTATTAAGCAGCATTTTAGGCTCCTTGAAGTAAGCCTCCCAGGTATATTCTGGGGTACCAGTAGGGCTTTTAAAGCATTTCAATAATTTATTCATGACTAATTATATATCAGGGTCTTCATAAAATATAATTTGAAATTCCAGTTCCCTGTAACTAAACAAATTCATATGTTACAGAGAATGACATGGAATAAGGGCACAAATTAAATACAGATTAACTGCAGTAGGAACTTTTATTAAAATAAAAACAATCAAATAAAATCATTACAAATGCACATTTTCCAATAAAGCCCAATCAGCCAGTTGCCAAAAAAAAAATAGGCAGAGTCACAGGTGACTGGTTTTAGACGTTCGCCAGTCGCCCAGAGCATGTGAGTTATGTTCCTTTGAGGTGGAGGTCCAGTTATATTTTCATACCTCTGCACCACCTTGGGGATTAACCTTCCCTCTAATGTCACACTGTCTTTTATAACTCAAAGATAAAACATGTTTTTCAAGAGATAAATATTGCACTTGTGTAAAAAAAAAACACTTCAAATAGTTACAAATATCACACAAAGCATAAAAATATCACAAGGGTTTAAAAGATCAGACTTGTTTACACGTTTTTCAATAGATAAATATTGCACTTGTATAAAAAAAAAAAAAAAAAAAAACACTTCAAATAGTTAAAATATCACACAAATCATAAAAATATCAGACTTGTTTGAAAACAGCATTAAAGGGCAACTCCGCTCAATTCCAAGGATTTCGGGATAATGAGTGATTTCACATTAAAAAGCCCTTGTAAAAGGCACTACTTCATCTGCTCCGCGAAAAAAAGAGGTACATTTTTAAATCTAATATTAAACACGAGCAGAAATCGAAACTGAAACTTTGGCTCCCTCCAGCAACACTGTCTTCGAGCCGCCAAGAATATGGCTATCACGAGGTATGAGATGTCACGTGATCCTCTACGCAATAACGGGAGGGATTGGGTCAGCAGTGTGCCAGGCGCAAGTGTCGTCTGCACCGCACTCTTCACCATGTTTTGGTGTCTAAGACATTCGACGACGTCTGCATAACTGCGGCATAAGTCTGCGCACATGGTGTCCGGTGTGTGGACGAAACTCCGAGGGACAATAATCACAAACGGTGAGACGACAACGGCGGTTGTGATGCGGGAGACATCAGGAGGTAACGGTGGGGAGGCCTGGCAGCTCCCAAGAAGTATGCTGCGCAGGTGCACGGAGAAGAAACGTTACTGACATCACCTGTTGTGCTTGCCCGGAGAAGTAAAAACAAGCAAAATGGTGATGATGCTTAGCTCAATGTTTGCTATGCCCACGCAGTAGCCTTGACTGCACTGTTGGTTGCGCCTCAATTTGCCGGCTCGATTCAGCAGATTTCGGCAATATGGCAAGTTGCAATGTTTGCCGGACCGTTTAAGAAACATTTACATAGAACTTTATCGCAATATTTGACGTGTGGTCCCCTTCCTAAATGATACTGAAGAGGACTGCATCATTTTTTTCAAAAACAAAAATGAAGAGGAGTTGCCCTTTATATTTTATATTTTTATGATACTTGGAAAATAACTACAGAGGTGTCGTTTTGCAGGCATTTTTCTAATATTGGTGGGTAAATTGCAACCAAACTTGATTGACCTATTAATTGAAATTTCAGAAACGGGCTCCATAGAGCAAAGCCTGTAGCCGTGACAATGCGAGCGGAAAAATGGTAACCCAAGCTTTAATATTAAAGGAGAAATCTTGGAAGCAGTAAGCAATTTCTAAATTTCCAATTTTCTGATCACATAAGCTAGTTATGTCAATAACGTGTTGCTGTAATTTACCCACCGATATTAGAAACATAGCTGCAAAACAACAGCTCTGTAGCTATTTCTTAAGTACCCCTAAAAAAATAAAACCTAAAAAGCCAACATTAAAGCTTGCGTCGTGGGGCCGCTGCCTTAAACATGGAAAATTCTAAAATAATTTAAAAGCTTCTAAAATCATTATAAACTAAAATCTCTGAACTTGTGAAAATAAATAAATGAAAGAAAGCTAATCTTGTTTGTTAATTTATATTCTTCTTTCGCAAGTATGAGGTGTTACTGCACTTCCTCCTCAGGTACTCTTTGACAGTCTTTGATGATTCACCCGGAAATTTGGCAATCACGTGATCTGAAAAGAAAAAGAAACACAAAATTCAGGAACTATAACTATACAACAGTGTCATCTTATATCCAGTTTTAGATTCACTGAGTAATGTATTTTCCAGACTATAAGCTTCACCTCCTATATTGAAACATCTTCACGAAAAAGTTGGCATAAAGTCGCGCTTGTATCCGAGATCGCAGCGGCACGTCGCAGCGACGCTCCTTCGCCGCGTGTGGGGCCACCACAGCATTGTTGCGAGCGGCGGCGCATAAAGTTGCCATGTGACGTACTGGAACGTGGCGAGTTACAGCAAAGCGCTTTCGGTGCATGTAGGAGCCACCACAGCGTCGTTCTAAGCAGCAGCGTGTAAAGTTGCCGTGCGGCACACTGGAAGGAGACGCATGTGGGAGCCACCACAGCACCGTTGTGAGCAGCAGCAAGTAAAGTTGCCGTGTGGCATATGTGGGAGCCAATACAGCGTCGTTGCGAGCGGCAGTGTGTCAAGTTGCCGTGTGGCACATGTGGGAGCCACCACAGCGTTGTTGCAAGTGGTGTCTCTAAAGTTGTCATGTGGCGCACTGGAACACGGCACGGCGCATTGCAGCGACGCTCCTTCGACGCGTGGGAGCCACCAGAGCGTTTGTAGTATGGCGCACTGAAACGCGGCGCGTCGCAGCGACCCTCTTTCGGCCAAGTGGCAGCCACCAACGCATTATTGCGAGCAATGACGCATAAAGTTGTCTTACGGTGCACTGAAATGCGGAAAGGCACCACAGCATCGCTGCGGCGGCACGCAAAGTCACTGGAACACACCACAACATTGCTGCAAGCTTTTTCGCGCTGTCGGTCACGGCAGGTTGGCACGGCACCGATACAATTAAAGAACATAAAGGCAAATGCAGCTGTTGCCGTATTTGGCTTTGTGTTTTCACGATAGATGAAGGCCCAACAGATAATGGAACAGACTGGTGCCAGGTGGCCTTCAAACTGTTCCATTATCTATCATGCCTTTCGCACTCCTTGGCGGGCGATGGAGGACTTGCTGCAGCCACGAGAAGTTTTCATGAAAACGTTTCTAAACAAGTCGCGCCATCGTACAAGACCGGAATTTGGAACAAAATGCGACTTATACACCGGAAAATATGGTATCCTTATTTTTTGTGTCCACATAATTTTACCATACGTGAGAACCAATGATCAGTTCGATGCAGAGAGTGATATTTAGCTGCTGCAGAATTCCGAACATAGCATTTCGGTCAATTTGTGAAGTATTAAGACTGCAAAAATTCAACCTGTTATGATATTTCATTAGAAAGTCAGATTTGATGTAGCCGAGACATTTTTTTTAAACATTGTCATTAATTTTGTATGATAATTCAGGGTCTTCTTTACAGCAATTCACTGACCTATCAGGTCCTGAACCGGCTCTTTAGGCAGGGATGATTTTGTCACAGAGCCGGAAAGGCAGCACTCTGCCAGAGCGTCGCTCCCGAACACCATCACAGCCAGGTCCTGTGTGTACAGGGATGCCGGCTTTCCGTCGAGCCGCTTCATCTGGACGTCGGTCACCACGATATCACCGAAGTGTACCTGAAATATAAGAATAGAAATAGAACCAAGTATAGTGGCCACATCCAAATGAATCCTTTTAGATTAAAGTCCATGCATGCATGCGCAGCCTTGACATGCTGGTGGTAAGTAAGTGCATCATGAACAGAGCCAGACCGCGACGTAAAATATTCCAAACAGCCACGCAAGTGTGCCCTCAAGATTACACGCACACTGGCTGTAACACACCTCTAAAGCATGGTCAACTGCAGCTTCATCTTTCAGCTAACCCCTCAATGCACAAGAACTTGCACCCCTAGAGACACTCAAGGAAGTCCACTAGGGGTGCAAATCACAACCATATGCATCATGCAACTAGTTGCCTGGCAATGTTTTTTTTCATTGGCTATTTAGGTACTATAGGGAAAAATGAAATGCAAACAGAGGAGTGCGTGGCTCGCGGTACAGGCTGCACTGCCTGGAAGTGAGCCGAGGGGCGAGGCCTACTCCTATGTGTTTACTTCATTCGCTCAACGCTCCCCAAGCTTCGGCAGTGTGCACCTCTTGGTGTGCTGAAAGCTATCACCGCCATCTTTGGTCGCTCGGTGCGTGCGGCGCGAGGAAGTTCGCTGCTAGTAGCAGCTAAAGCACTCGCTCAGCCAACGCGCGCTTCAGCTGCTACTCTTCCCCTCTCGCTCCTTCAGCACTCTCCCAGTGATGTGATTGGCCTAAGCCATTTTGAAGAACCTTTTGGAGCAGCCAAAACAGTGTTTTGGAGCAGCAAAAGTGGCCTTTGGAGCAGCCAAAACAGTGTTTTGGAGCAGTGAAAGTAGCTTTTGGAGCAGCCAAAACAGTGTTTCGGTGCAAAAAAAAAAGTGGCTTTTGGAGCAGATATTTTTAGAAATATAAATATTTGTTTTAAGTGCTGGACAAACGAAAGGCACTTTGTGTTGTGTTCTGATGTGACGAGCTGTGATGGAACACGATGCTTCTGTTTTTACTGCCGAGACATCCCACAAGTATACAGTGCTGTAGGCGCTGCCGAGCAATTCCAAAAAAAAAAAAAACAACAACCTAGCCATCGTTTTACTGGCTCCTGACGTGCCAGATTTTTATAAAAATTAAGTAACCGTTAAACAATGGATTGCAAGCGTCCCAGCTGGTGCATCTGTCGTGCAATCATGTTCGCATGCACGTGAGGGCAACTTCAGCAGGCTTGCAATTCCACGTGCTTCGTCGCGCCAGTGGAGACAACGGATGTTCAATCAAAACCGAAACCATGCCACTCCGCTCCGTCGCCAACTGGTTCCCAAAATAGTATGCAAAATGCAATTGTCCAGCACACGACAATAAACAGTCCAGCGGCACGTGCTTGCCAGGCCGGCATGCGAGGTACAGGCCAAACACACAGAAAAAAAGAACCTGAGCGCACCGATATATCACATCGCGAGCCAGGGTCAAAAAGTTCTTGAAACGCCGTGTGCAACGACTGAACTCGTGACAAACAAGCGCTGTGCGGGTTCAGCGTGCAGACATTGCCTTCTTTGCTTTAGCTCACTTCTCTTCATCAACCTTCTTTCGCGGCAGATTTTTCACGTACTGGGGTCCCTCTCGAAAGAAAGCCCATCGAGAGAAACCTAGGTAGTCAATACTTCGCAGCAGCTTAGAGTTAAATAGGAATTTTTGTAGCAGTGTATGATTTAAACAAGAACAGGAATCTCGATGCGCTTCAGTTTAGCAAGCCCCATATCTGCAGCGATGTGGAGACGGCAACACGCGACGTCGCGTGACCACGGCGACTGTGGTCGTGCGAGCGCTTCAACTCACAAAGTAACCCTCGCCGCGCAAAAACGTGGTTTTGATGGTTTTCTTTCAAAGCATGGCGACAGGTCCGGCTCCCAGCACACTGACGTCGGACCGTCCGCAAATGCCTGCGTCTATCGTTGAATATTTTTTTTTAAAAGACACGAGAGACTAAATCCTTGAGACGACGAAAGCGCAAAATGCAAGACGGCGGAAAAAACCATGCAAGACCGGATAGACGATTGATGCAAGGTACGGTAAGTCGGGAGGCCGCTTGCGCCATCTGGCTCACGCATGCTCGATTACGGTTCTCAGTTTAGTTTTGGTTTTGAAAGGCAACCAAAATTGGTCCTTTGGCGCAAGCTTGGCACAATTACCCATATCTTGGCAAAATGTAGCAGGATGTAGCAGGGTTAGCCCTTTGGCGCAGTCTGGCGCAATTGGCGCAGCAATCACCATCACTCCTCTCCTCCCTTTCCTTCACTTTTCTCCTCTCCAGCACCTTCGTTACCGCACCCACTGGCCAGACTCTTCCAATATACGGCTCCGTTCAAACATATAGTAAACAGAGAATGTCTACATACCGTGTTCTCCATCACATTCCCGGGCACTCCTGGAAGCATGGGGCCCGCTGCTTCACGATGCTGAAGGCTTGCAAGAATCTGTGGCACATCTGCGAAAAAGAAGTGTCCACCATAAAATTAAAACTGTCGTCCTCTAATCTCGCACAGAAATCATAATTCTGTTATAGTACTTCAATGTTTTCGATGCCGATGCCAACTGTCAACTCAACAGCTAGGCTAGAGGGTGAGAGAACCTCAACCATCCCATAATAATGGAGCGCTTACCGGCAACGACCCAGCAGACAACGCTGCGTTGTCTGCCATCAAAGAGGCGGCTTGCAATTGACTGACAAGCGCCTTTCATCAGCCCACCGTCGCCTCGGCCAGGTTATGCACTGCCCTTCTTCAGCGCAAAGTTTTACTCAGGAAGAGGCGTCTCCCTATCTTAAATCACATTTTTGGAAGGGAAATAAGCGCCACATCACCGTAAGTTTTGGATTTTTAGGATGCTTAGAGCCTGTAGAAGGATTTAGCACCGAGAACAGACAATTTCGGAAACATCCTTAGTGCATCTTTAAGAACCGTCGAAACCAGCAGGCTTACAATACACGTTTGCAAATCTGATCTCAGGTCACCACCATCTTGTTCATTGGGGTGCGCTTGGGTGCAGTCGTAATCTGATTACGACGCCTTAGAAAGGCTTCCGTAATCTGATTACGACGACTTAGAAAGGCTTCGTAAACGGATTATGACGCACTTGCGCAGGCCGTAACCGAGCAAGGCGGCGGCACCCTGAAACCGGGCTTGCAAACGTGTGTAGATTTCGAAGTTCTTGAAAACATGCTGGAAGAAAATCTTGAACCTGATGTGGAGTTGGAAATATATAATCACAGGACAAACACTCTGAATGAAAGCAAACAATGTTAAAGTATGTTTCAAAGCTGATTAAGATCAAACCTTCTAGAAACTATTTCGAGTCTCTCTCCCATTGCAGTATAAACAGGTTATGCTCCTAGTCCACGTGGTAATCAAAACAAGAGTGAATATTTTACTCTAGCTTAGGCATAAAAAATGGGATATGATCAAGAAGTTTCCAGAAATTTGGGAATTCAGTCATACCTCTCAAAGCAGGAAGGAGATCGTCCAGCACAAAAGTCATCTGTGCTCTACCTTGGAGCACTTTGGTCTCGGCCTCCTCTGCCCTGGCCTCGGCCTCCTCTGCCCTGGCCTCGGCCTGCTCCAGCCTGGCCTCGGCCTGCTCCAGCCTGGCCTCGGCCTGCTCCAGTCTCGCCTCAATCTCCTCCGTCCTGGCCTCAGCTAGCTCCAGTTTGGTTGAGATTTCCTTTTCCCTGGCCTCAGACTGCTCTGCCTTAGCCTCGGCGAGTACAGCCCTCGCCTCGGCCTGAGCCCTGGCCTCGGTCACTGCAGCCATGGCATCTGCATAGGAGACCCTTGCCCCACTCTCTTCGGCCCTGGCCAGGGCAGGTACCGCGAGAGGCTCTTGAACTTGTGGCGGCAAGTCGGTCGGCTCCTCCAGGCCACCAGGAGATGCGTGCAAGAGCTATAGACAACAAATGATATGCGCATGTGATGGCATATTATCAGATTTGAACAACTAAGTATGATAAAAGAAGCCCTAAGCAACGGAGGCTGGATTCATGAAACAATGTTACGACGAATCTGGAGAAAAATTCATATTCGTGAGACAAAATTATTGTAAGTTTTACATAGCTCGCAACAAAGTCCTGCGACAGCCCCCGAGGTGTCCTACAAACTTCTTAGGATCAACACGACCACACGTCACTTACGTACAGGGATTAAGTACAGGTTGTCACGAAAGAAAATTTACACGGTCTTTTTTAAAGCAAAAAAAAAACTAGGCATCGCCGAACGCTCATTTTCCGCCCAAAGGTAGTGCTTGAGGTCACAACCAAATGCCAAAGTTTCAGCCCAATCCGATAAATTAATCAAAAGTTATGTGATTTTCCGAAACTTTCAATGGAGAAATGGCGGCCAACGGAGCTTTCGAATACATGGGGCTCTATGGCACCAGAAACCGAAAACAGGCAAACATGGGCTCCATTTTCCCATTAAAATTTTCAGAAAATCACCTATAACTTTTGATTAAGTTATTGAATCGGGCTGAAACTTTGGCATCTGGTTGTGACCTCTAGCGTTACCTTTGGGCGGGCGGAGAATGAGCGTTCGGCGATGCCTAGTTTGTTTTGCGGTGTAAAAAGCCCTGTAAATCTTTTTTGTGACACTCTGTAGTTTAGGGAGCGAGCAGGGGGCATTTTTCTGCACACAGTTCGTGTGAATCTCAACTTCAAGCTGCAAAAGAGAAAGAATGCAAAACTATTGGTGCAGCACGCAGCCGACGATTCCATTGAGCTTACCTAAAGCTTAGTGAGGCACGTCATGATGATTCAATGGAAGGGAACACGGAAACAACTCTTTGGTGAACCCTTCAGGTATGAATAGTGTGACCTCAATTTGGTGATTAGCAGTGTACCCTCGTCTCAGAATAGACCATTTTTTAAATCCCGTCAAGCGCCCCCGCCCGCACTCAAGCAATCATACGACCAGGGTGCTTGGGGATTTAGAAAATCGCCTATTTTCATTATCATAGTGGAGGATGACTGGCAGGCCAGGAAATGCGTTTTTGAAAATAGACGCAGTTTCTCGTTGCAAAGTGGTCTTGCGGATGGGATATGCTGTAGCAGGGGTGGAACTCATGAAATGTACATGGGAGCAGCCACGGGAGCAGCTGAAACAGCTGTTTTGGAGCAGGTTGGAAGCAGCTAAAACTACATCTTGGAGCAGGCTAGGAGCAGCTCAGATCAGTTTTCATTTCACCTCAGCTTGTGTCTTTGACGAGCACGGGAGCAATTTCAATTGTGCTTTGCAGCACAGATGAACATGAGTGGTTAGGGATTTATGTAAATGGGATAACAGTGTAACAGATGCGAAAACTTGAAACTTTCATGTTTCTGGAGGCAGTGTCCTTGATTATTTCTGAGCGGCTTTCAGCCGTTCAAAATGGAAACCAGCACTGCTTATCGCACAGCCCACACGTGCTCGACTTAGTAATTATATGTGCGAACTACTAGACGTGCATATGCAACGGACGTCCAGTTGCGCGGAGGAACAGGGCAACGAATTTCGCGTTGGTCCTATTGTGCAGCTCAATATCGAAGCAGCAGACTACAATTAAGGGAGTTATCGTATTCGAAGCGATAAGCAGGAGCAAGATTAAAATCTCGTGAGAGGTGCTGACCGTCAAAGTTTCGGATCGGACAGCGTTTCAGCTCTATCAAATCACGACTTATCTTGCGGAAATGCGGTTCCAACTTCCCAGGTGGTGGAGCGCTTAGAATCCGACCCCCGAGTTTTTCTCGCGCGCTTTCGACTCGGGATACAGAGGGAGAATAAACAGAACAAAGGATTGAAAGGCCGAGCAAGCTAAACGTGCTCATTGTTGCCAATCGAGTCGATGAAAACCGAAACCAAGACAAAGTAAAATTTTTTTTTTGGCGCACGTTTTGCGATTTGGTGCATAATGGCGCGAGGTATTGGCTGTGGCGCAGTTTCCACTACATGGCGCAGGATGGCGCAGACAAATGCGCCTGGCGCAAAATGGCGCAAATGGCGCAGCCGTTCCACCCCTGTGTAGGTGCTTTTTATTCAGATGTAATAGAGGTAGAAATATCAACACGGAGCGAGCATATTTCTTGGGAGCCATGGCTGGTACGCGATATTGGATCACCAATTTATGTGACTCCCTTTTTATGTTGTCCATCCCCTCTCAGATCCTTAAGACCAAGAAAAAAAATGTGACAATTTGTTCACTTATGCACCGCTTTGCAAGCGAGGCATGCAGGCTGCCCCTTGAGCATATATAAAAGTTTTGTAGGCTTCATAACCAAGAGTTACCTCGTCCTCGGTGAAGCTCAGCATTCAAGAGCATTTGCCCTGCGGCGGTATTAGCACTTTACTAAGCACGGTCAGGTCAACACACAAGTGTTGCAAGAGAAGCAAGCCATAACCTCCTGCCCTTGTTTCTTGCTGTAGTTGAAATGCACGTGCTCCAACACGGTGAGCTTTCCAAACGGCTATTGGAATTGCCAAGAACGCCGTCACCACAGTAACAGTCGCCTCTTGCAACGACTTGCAAGACACTGCAAGCTGTAGTTTTTCCGCAAGAGATTGTCGTTTTCCTCCTCTTATTTAAGAAAGCATTTGTGAATACAGATTTCTCTTTTCTTACTACGTCATAACCTATGAACTTCTTAGCCAAGTTGTCGTAGCAGCATAAGAAGCTATTAGCAAATCTGGCCTGTGCTTTTCAGAAGTGACCTCTGGTAAGCACACAAAGCTCTGCTGCTGCTGCACTCAGACTACTTCTTGTGCTGAGGAAAAGAACAGCATATGGCATTTACTTTACAGGTTACTAAACTAGTAAACCTACACTTTCCAGCCACCCGTCCAGTCTGAACAGCTCGAAGTTGGCTTAAATTAAATAATAATTAGTACACTTTAGACAGCACACAAGACTAACAATTACATATTAAGAGGAGAGCTCTGAAATACAAAAATATCTGTAACCAAACACCAAATGGCAACATCATGTGACTACTGATATGCAACTCTCAATAAATCTAACATCTTCACAACAAAAGTTTGCATACATACCTTCTGTTCCCTCAGGTCATCCCTAAGCTGTTTGACAAGCCTGTCTTCCATGTTATCTTTTTTTTTGTGGACTTGCCTTTTCTGTGATGAAAAATTGTAAAATTAGGAAAATAAGGTCTTTCAAAATTTTAAAGTTCTTTCAAAATTTTAAAACCAAATTATAGTTCCAACTTCCTCCTACATTGTGCTATCGGCGTAAAAGTTTACAAACCGTGGAAAGAAACAAAAAGAAATTATTTACTACACTGCCTTAAAGTCTGGGCTTGCCTCTTCAGTGAAGACGATTCCTTGAGGGATGATGAATCACCCACACCTGTGAAGTACGTCCAAACTAGAGGACAACGCCACAAATAAATTTCTTAGTTTCTTCCCGCGGTTCGTAAACTTTTGCAGCCGATAGTACATTACATAATCTTCAATTAATGCAGATTTCCACTTAATAGGTTACTTTGTTACTACCAGCACAGTTTAAGTATGGCACCTAACGCATCTCCAAATTATGCGTATACTGCATCCTCATTTCTGGTCTTCCGATTTCCGCCATGTGATATCACGTTGGTGGCAATCCTAGCGGTGGCACAACAGTGGGGGTGGAGACAACAGATGCTTGTTATGCTCTATCTCACTCTGCAGACAGCCAATGAACAGCAGCTTATGCAGCCACGGGCTGTGATGCAGCGATTATAGCCACCCTATATGGCAGCTAGCTACCAGAGTAATGGCACTCTTTTTTGTATGCCACCTCCCGCCACAATTGGTCAGTATGTCATTATGGAGACGACCCAAGCTGACTCAGTTTCCATAGCAACGGGCTGCACTGAGGATCGCCAAACGCGCTTGGACAGGATTCAGACACCGTCTGCTACTCCTGCCCCCGACGATACTCAAGTGGGAGGCCTTTCCGACACATGAGATTTGGGGTTGACTTTATCCTAGAGCTTCTTCTGTGTAAGTTAAATAATCTGTGCCTACATCAACATCACTCGTCCGTATTCCAAACTTAAATCAGGATGCTCAAACGAAGAGTGATCAAACGGTCGCTAGAGGCGCTGGCAACCTCCCACGGCCAAAATGGAGATCTCCGCTGCCGCTTTAGGTGTTGTGTCTAGCACTTTTGGCCTAATGTTGCTTCTCTGGCAGCTAAAGCTTTTAGCTGCCATATAAAGTGGCTCTAGCCGCAATGACAGCGACGCTTGCGTTTGCCCACTTTTTCCAACAGCAGTTGGAACTACAACCAACCACCAGGGTCACCACAGATGACAACATGACATGGCAGCCCCTATGAGGTAATTTGTTGCCACTGTGGTACCGCACTCAATGCATGGGCGGTATAGGATGCTAAACACACCAGTCGGAGATGCATTCCAGGCACCGCAGTGTAGGGAAGTTGCACTGATGCACTGCCAAAGTGATGCTGCAAAGTTTCCAACTGCTTGTTCCACAAAAGCTGCTTACCTCGTCCTTCTTGGGCACAGCATTCCGCTCGTCCAGCATCTTGTTTAAGAGCTTCTCCAGCTCGGGACGGGAGACTGAAGAGCAACAAAGCATTACATACGAAAATTGAGGTCCTATGTTTCACCTACGTACAAGCACTTTGAGGTGAAACATAAATAACCCTAACACGCATTCAATTTCTGCACCTAAGTGGAAAAGTGTTTGCGTGGAAATAGCGCTTGTGCTAGAAAGGAACGTTTCAACGGAAGTTACGTCCTGTGTAACCTACACGACCTTATTGAATATTACGGTTTACTGCCGGTACATGACATAAACACAAGCATATTGTGAATTATTCCTACGTTACGTCCGATGCAGCATTCCTTAATTGGTTAAAAAAGCGACTCCATCTGTACTTCCAGGTACAGATGCCCATTACATTTTTTTTTTTTCTTTCTCGTGTTTCTTGTGACGGTTTCTGAGAATAACGGACGTTCGAAGCAATTCCTAAGAATGTGACATGAACGTGCTGTTTACAGCAGCAGGGTTTCCTCAGACTTGTTGGCAGCTGGCACAATCTTCACGTACCACTCAAGTTGCCACGCGCACTAAATTTTGCAGTGAATTCTTCCAGAGTGTCTTAAATAACAAGCTGTTTCGAGGGGGCTGCTTGGGTGTGAGAAGGACAATAGACTTGTTAAAATGGAGGTTTGGGCGAGTTGGTAGTTCATAACTGACAAGAAAACAGCGCACCCCCAAAACAAGCACTCTTAAGCTTTCATGCACACAAAAGAAAGAGCCACTTACACAGCGCTGTGTAAGTGGCTCCAGCCAGCAAACCAAGCCCCGCTGAACCCCATGCACTTCCGGAAACAAAGTCCCATAGCACTTCGTTCAGCGAAATTTCGGTGACATTAGTTTTTTCCTGTGTTAAAGAAGTTATGACACGTCAAAGATAAAATATGAGATAACTATACTGCTAGGACTCATATTATGTTCCTATAATCCTGCTAAATTTGTTTTGAAAATGGCGCGATAGTTTTGTGGATAAATCGATTTATATGCAAGCCCCTCGAAGGAGCAGATCCGGGCGGAGCTGAAGGTTGGCTACGTAGCCAGCCTCCAGCGCGGTGTCTCCTTGCACGCACTCACAGACTTGGCTCGCTTGGCTTATCGAGCCTCAGCTTCCTCGTTTACCTTCCATGTTTCGAGCATGGGGTCCGTAATGATTACGTTTACGGCATCGCTCGCCTTGTCGAAGTGTTCGACATTGATCGCAGCAGCGACGAGAGTGATTGCTATCTAGAGATGTTGGAAGCTGTTCATTTTGACTGCGACCCACTGGCGACCAGCTCCAGCGACGACGAGTAAAGGCCCGTTCACACTCTTGCGACCGACTTCGACCGAGAGAGACCAGACCGGTTTTTAAAGCTTTTGCGACTTCTTAGGACCGGATGCGATGCAGTGGAGCTGGTCCTAAGTCGCAAGAGGCTTAAAAACCGGTCTGGTCTCTCTCGGTCTAACTCGGCCGCAAGAGTGTGAACGGGCCTTAACGGATGAACTCGCCGTGGTCACCGTCGTCCGGGAATATCTCACAGGCGCATGCAGGGTGGAAGGTCAACGGGCCGGGGGTGAGAGCAAGAATAGCTTTCGGGTTACCGAGTTGTGTGAGCGGTTTTGATTGTACCGCCAGTACCGCGACGAGGAGAGCTTGAGCAATTATGGGGGCGTCTAGAATGAGAGAGTGTTCATGGTCACCTGGTTTATGGACACCATGGTGTGACTAACTTGGGCAGTGCTGCCTGGTCGCCAGATGAAAATGATAAAAATTCGTAAATTGAATATTGCTATTACCAGAGCTCTAAAAATCGCGTCACTTGGTGTATATACTAAGTAGCCTATGAGCATTCCATTTCAAGAATAATCTATCCGTTTAATTTTCACGCCATAACCCCTTTAATCGTAAAAAAAAAAAATGTAAATATCGGCAAATGCGTCGGCAAAATAAAATGTTCAAGAAAAAAAAAAAAGTAAGCACGCACCGGGGATCGAACCCGGGATCGCTTGCTTATGAGACATATCTTACCACTAAGCTACACTCCCTTTTTTTTTTTTTTTTTTTTCTTTATTGACTAAGCTACACTTTTCGAAAAACTCGTTTTGAGAACTCGTTTTATACGAGATTTTCGGACGGCATTTCAATGCGTGAGTAGAGTACCGTCGGACGGCACTTGAACGCTCTGCAAGAGTGCCGTCGGACGGTACTCTACACACTACGTATTCGGAGCTCCGTCGGACGTAACGCTAGGCACTGCGAATCTCATTTCACAGCTTATCCGATTAAGGTTGAACCCACTAGAGCGAATACGAAGCGAACAACCGCCCTGCGGCACCCGCACCGCGCAGAGCAAACGCTGTCGGGCAAACATCGTCCTTCGTATATTTGCTCCACGAAGTCCAGGCTTTAGCGAAATCATGCTCATTTATCGCGAAGCTCGATCAAATATAAGACGTAAGAAACGTACCTCCGAAACGGACGACCTGAGCGGCGTGGACGCTTGTACCCCCTGTTGAGTTACCAGACTTGTCCTGGTTGGGCCAATTCACTTTAACCCAGTTTTTTTTTTGAGTGGCGTCCTTGTATCGCGGCCACACTTTGGCGTTGTGGCATACAGGATTATAATCCCGTATGAATTTGACAGTTGCAACGCCAAGAGAGCCGTCATCGAAACTATAAAGTGCAAGCGTATCCATCAAGACGTATAAGCACAGCACAGTACAGTACAGAGGTACAGACAAGGCCAACAAGGCGCCAACCACCGAACCAAAAGAACCAAACAAAGGGATTAGAAGTGACTTCGGATTTGGATGTGGATTCTGGACGTTACTTTTAAACCGAAACAAGAGCAAAGGTAAAAATAATGTGTGGAGCAACTGTTTTTTATGCCTGCTGGTAGATGTCTGTTTTGTTTGAACGACTTATATTTGACTTAGGCAAGCACTAACAAATTGGGTGGAAAAACAGCATGGTGTTGATTATAATGCAATTCAATGCAAATTTGCAAGCGAGTGCGCAACCGAAAAAATCCGCCTGGTCCGGGTTAGATACCCGGATCAGGCAGATTTTTTCGGTCACGCACCAGTCCAGTCACCTAGCTATGTTTAGAGATTTGTGTTTATCCTTTGTCCCTCTTGTTCTCCTTCTCGAGATTTGTGTTTACCCTTTGTCCCCCTTGTTCTCCTTCTCGATATTTGTGTTTACCCTTTGTCCCTCTTGTTCGAGCACACTGGGATTCCATTTCCCATGTATTTTGTCAATAAAGGCAACGTGGGCGTTATTTTGTTTACATGCCGCTACTATAGAAGCTCATTACATGGCACGTAGACATCGATTGGTAAGGATCATAGCCCGGGCCCAAGGGGGGAGGTGGGGGAGGGCTCTGCCCCCCCCCCCCCCCCCCTTTCCCGCCGAAGTCTACGCCTATGATGGTGTTGATAGTGCCCAACCGGCAGAACCCTCCGAGGTGCGCACCAAATACACGCCTTATGCATACACACAGCTTTCTCACTTCCGGACAGGGGTTTATCAGGAATTTTAAACCTGGGGTGGCCCAAATTTTTAGGGGGGGGGGGGGGGCACACTTTGGGGGTGTCTTGGGAGAAGGGGGGCAGGGGGCTTGTGTAAATCTATGTGTTTGTCACGTCCACAACCGCCACGCATCGGACCTTCGGGTTTCCAGCCAGGCCCCTTCTCCGTGCCGCCATCTTCATCTTGAGACTGTATCTCCTCCGCCTGCGCCTGCGATCCTTTGTACTCTACCTCAGGAAGCCCATCCCTCATCCCGCCGTCCACCACGTATTAGGATTCAACTCTGCCAGCTGGACTGCCAACTACAGAGTCATGCAGATAGCACGCATTGAGCTCTCGCAGGAAATTCTTGTCATGCAGAAATTACTTCCCGGTCTCATGACGGGCATCTTCGGTGCCCGCTTTACAGTTCACCCTTCGTACATATTTCTAACCAAGTCCGGGCAAGACCTTCTTGATTCATCTTGGAAGGTCGTAATTGCAACTGCTTCCACAGAAAAACGAGCGAACCAGTGGCCCAAGCTTCAGCCACCGCTAAATCTCTCGGGCTCGAACCTTTTACCGCAAGCCGAGGCACTGCTCTCAAAGGGACCCAAATTTGCTCCTTCTGTCACACCGTCAAGAGTGGATCAGCTCGCAGCGGTACACCAGATCGCGTCAAGAATTCTGGAGCCTGCCCGACAAGAGTTCCTCGGTGTTGGTTCCCGTTTGGTGTGCATGCATGGAGCAAACCACCCAACCAAACCAGATTTTCCACAAGTGGTGAATGAGTTCAGGGGGTCTGACCTGAAGCTTTTGGAGGCAGGCAATACAGGAGTGTTTGTGGTCATGAACGAGTCTAACTTCGGTGAGAGGGTTGAACTCGTCATCAAGAAAAACTTCGTCCTCGTTAAGAAAAGGCCGTCCGGCACCCTCCGATCGGAAGTCAAAGACATCTGCAGGTCGAACAACCTTTCGTCGCTTCTCACGAGAGTGTCGGCCCCTGCAAACCAGTACCTAAAAGTGTTTTTCACCGCCAAGACACACAAGCCGGAGCAGGGGTTTCCCCAGTGGCTCGGGGGGGGGGGGGGGGGGGGGGGGGAGGCGATGCGAGGTGAGGCTAGATAAAATATAAAACTGTTTCTTTTTTAGTCCACTAGCTAAATTACAGACGTCTATTAACCAAATGCTCATACCCGTAAATCTGAAAAAAAAATTTTATTTTATTTTTTTATTTTTAGATTCAAGGGGGGGTGTCCAGAAAAAACTAGGGGGGTGGGGTCGTCTTACGAGGGGGGGGTCTAGGGAAATCCCTGAGCCGGAGATCCCGCTGAGGAGCATCATATCAGAAAATCGATGCTGGCAGAAGCCTCTGGCTCTCTACCTGCAGAAGCACCTCGCAGCCGTCCCTCTGGACCAGCCTTTCCGCGTAGGCAGCTCTGAGGAACTCCTCCCAGCTCTCCAGCTTCTTCACACATCAGGCCCAGGTACCACATTCTTCTCCCTAGACATCACCGACATGTACTACAGCCTCGACTTCAACATTCTCCTGGTTGCGGTAGAAAAAGCCCTCACTCCACAGGGCATCGCCAAATTCCAAAATCCTTCCGGCATCACCCTCAGCGCGTTCTTGCAATTATTCAGAGTATACCTTCGATCGACCATGGTGGAGCATGACGGAAAGATATACCTACAAAAATCGGGCGTCTGCATCGGGTCCTGCCTGGCACCTGCGCTAAGCGAGGTCTACCTGTCCTTCGTGGATCAGGCCGTCAAGGAGCAACTGGACAGCGTCGCCCCAGAAACCCAGGTGTACAGATATGTGGACGATTATCTGGTGCTCCACGACTCTGGCGTGCCCACCGTCACCATCCAGAAGGCCTTCACAGACAACGCAAACGGCCTGAGCTTCGCCGGGGAGGACCCCTCGTCGGAGGGTCTCCAGTTCCTGGATGTACGCCTCGTAGCCACCCAGGGAGGCACTTGCTGGCGCTTCCAGCAGCGGTCACAGAAGCCGGTGCTGCCGTTTTCAAGTCACTATACTCAAAGACACTAAAAGCAGGCATCGCAAAAAGTCTCATCTCCTCCACCCGCACAAAGTCCTGCCAACCAGATATGTACAAATTACTCAAAAAAAGGTAATTAAGTTAAGTTACTGAGTATCGACGCCAAAAGTAATTGGAGTAGAGTAAAAATTACGCATTTGTAATAGTAATTGAGTAAACTACAAACTACTGTAAAAAGTAGCGAGTTACTTTGAAGTTACTTTCGAAGTTACTTTTTTATATTTTTGTGGTAGCAAAATGAACAGCAGTTTTGATCCGTGAAAAACCCTGCGAGCCTAATGCTTGCGTGTTCACCAAAATAGTTTATTCGCTCGCAGAAGCAATTGACTCTCAAAGTTCTTGATAGGAGAGTTTTCCCCTTTTCCTCCTAAAGACGTCCCAAGCCAAGCTAAAAAGACGTTCCACCGACGCGCTGGATGGAACGGCAGCGTTGAATTTCAGAAACAGTCTGTGCAGGGTCGAATAAGCGAGTGTCAGCATCTAAGGTGTTCATGACGAAACATGTGTGGTTTGCTTCGGCCTAGACGGTCGTTTATAACAAACTCTCCTCTTTTTTTTTTTTTTTTTCTTTGGCAAGTTGAGCTTGTTATGACTGGCCCCTCTTTATTCCCGCGACGTTCGGAGAGTACGCTGAGTGAGTGCACCGGACACTGAAAGTCAAGGGTTCAAGTCTCAGCCACGACGATGAGATCATCCGGACGACTGCGTGTCACGTTGCAGTGCTAGTGCTACGCTACTGAAAAGAAAAAAAAAATAATATATATATATATATATATATATATATATATATATATATATATATATATATTGGCTTAATGGAAGATGAAACGAAGTATAATTCGCCGCTGACGCCTGGTCCAACAAAAGGATCTACCAAGGGTAACTCGCAATCCTCGCCGGCGCCTGACACGCCTGACAAGCAAATCGTTTTCAACAAACAGGAGGTCTCTGTGGCGTGGAAGGTCAGAAGGACGCGACAGGTTACGTGAACAAGTATCGTCGCTCGTACAATTGCAGCTGGAAGCGGATTATCCGCGCCTGGGTTTGTGCCCGGGGTAGTCCGGCTTTGCAAAGGCTATGCGCTGACGACGAGGCGACAATGGGAACAGGCGCCCAGCTACGAGGTCATTCCGGTAGAGCTTCCCGTGGAACAATCAGCTAGCTTGAGGCAGAACTCACTAAAGGCAGACGACATGAAAACAACAACCCTTGGAGTGTCTCCGTCTTTCACGGTTGCACCTGGAGGCGCGGCGCCCGCGTGCATTACCGGATTAGGTCAATACCCGACCAAGCCTGCTTTCGTGCGCGGCGGTGTTATGTTCTGGCTGTTTGTCGCCAACTTGGCCCAAGGACGCCCCTGATGCAGTTTCTACGGCTGCCGAGTATAAGCGCGTGGGAACGGGAGCGGTTTCCTTTCCCCCAGTTTTTCCCCCGGAGCCTTGTCCTGCCCCCCCCCCCCCCCCTTCGCCTTCTCCCTCCTTTTAAATTTCCCTCTCCTATAGTGGAGTTCCGAAGGCGAAGCGTCCGGCAATAAATCATTTGTTTGTTGAAAGTTGACAGATGTGTTGTCCCGTCACCCGTCTTAGTAGCAAGCTCCACAGAGCATCGGTGCTTCTTCGTCTTTGAAAACGCGTCGTTAGATCGTGCCCTGTGACTAAACGCAAAACGGACTGCCAATCATAACGCGTTGCTCTTTTCCGTGCATCAAATGCGCACTTGTCCTCTGCGATCACAATTCGCAATGCAAGTGAATCACGCGTTCAACGAACAACGAACGCATTTCGCAACGGACGCGCGCTTTTAGCGGCAGACGCCGATGCCTTCCAAATACAAGCGCTACCTCGAAGAAGATGTGCCGCTACAACCGAGAACGGCCAGAAGGAGAAGATCTGAAGCTTCTCGCACAAGAAATAACCACCCCAACTGCGCTGCTCAGGTAATTACAAGTTCACAACTCTCCTATAAAAAAAAAAAAAAAAAAAAAAAAAAAAAAATATATATATATATATATATATATATATATATATATATATATATACTATATATATATCGTATTTTTTTATTATTATTATTATTAGACGCGGCGCCGCCAACGAGCTTGATGGGCGCCGCAGCTTTTATGATACAACTAGAGCACTATATAGCTCCTTCGGAGCAGAGTAGCGCAATCTAGAACGCCGTCTCTCGGCGACTAGCGGCGA